CAGGTCCCCAGCCCTAGTTTGCATTTTATTTAGAGACAGGATGTCACTGAGTTGCTCAGTGCCTCGCTTTTGCAGAAGCTGACTTTGAACTCATGATCCTCCTGTCTCCGCCTCCCAAGCTGCTGGGCTTACAGGGGTGGGTCACTGCACCTGGCCATTGATGGATTTCTTTTTATTCCTTTTTAATTCTAATTTGTTATATATGACAGCAGAATGCAATTCAATTCATATTACTCAAATAGAGCACAATTTTTCATGTCTCTAATTGTAGCATTGATGGATTTTTAAATTATTGGTGAAGGAAGATTTAGGATGTGGGGCCTAGTTGAAGGAATTAGGCCACTGGGGTGTGCCCTTGAAGGGGACATCTTATCCCCATAGCCTCCCTCTCTCTTCTTGCTTTCCTTGTTTCCTGGCTGCCATCAAGTAAGCAGCTTCCCTCTGTCACACGTGACATGAGGTATGGCCTTACCAAGGCCTAAAAGCTTCCCGTCCAAGAAGCTATGCTCTAAAACTCTGAAACTGTGAACCAGAATAAACCTTTTTTCCTATAAGTCTTCTCAAGTATTTTGTCATAGCAATGGAAAGCTGACTAACGCACATTGAATTATCACATGATGCAACATTCTCACTTCTGGGTATACATCCAAAGGAATTGAAATTGAAAAGATATCTTCACTCCTGCTTATTTCAGCATTATTCACAGTGGCCAAGATGTAAAAATCAACATCAGCATCTATCATTGCATGAATGGATAAAGAAAATGTGATATAAATGTGCAAGAGAATACTAGTCAACCATCAAAATAAGGAAATTTTGCCATTTGCAACAACACAGTTGAACATGTTAAGGGAAGTGAGCCAGGCACAGAAATAAAAATGCTTGTGTGTGGAATCAAAAAAGTCAAACTCATGGAAAAGCAGAATGACATTTACCCAGACCGTGGGAGGGAGTGGGTGGGGAAAGGGGACCTCTGATGAAAGGTTTAAAGTTTAACTAGACAGGAAGAGGGAGCTTCAGTTATCCATTGTGTTGACTATGGTGGGTATTAAATGCACAAGGCACTGTATATTTCAATATTGCTTAAAGAAGAGATTTCAAGTTATTTTGTCACCAAAAGGGAAGTATGTGAAGTGGCTGATTTTAAATATTTGCTTGATGTTATTATTCCACAATATAAACACATGTCACAATATCATATTGTACCCCATAAATATACGTTAATATTATTTATCCATTAATTCTCTTGAAAAAATTTGTCTCTTCAGAGAGGCCTTCCCTGACCTCCTATCTGCATAGTCCCTGACCCATGTCGACCCCTATGGCAGCACCCCACGTATTCCTAACTGACACTTGCCCTGAACCATAGCTGTTCCTTTTTCCTGGGCCACACAGTGGGGAGACTGTCAGGAGGAGTCTTGACCATCACTGGAGTGGGTCAAAGATTCTAAGAGATGAATCTTCTGAGAGCGGGGAATGCCCACCAGTGTGAGGTGGACAGAGCTCCCAAAGAACAAGCTGATAGATAAACGCTAAGATCCCTTCCCCTCTGATGTTTTGTCAACTTTCCATCCGGTACTTTTTAAGTGGAAGAGATTAGTTCCAGTCATGATCAGTAGCTGGTGTGGATCTAGCCCTCCTCATAGATGATAATTATACACTTGGCACAAAATATTTTAAAGAAACTACTGGATGTCGCTGGAGAGAAACAAAGAGTCGATAGAATGTGGAGGGAACTTGGCCCTTGAAAGAAGAGAGTCACACACACTAAGTTAGACTGGAGGAGGAGGAGGGCTGCTGGCGTGGCACAGCCAGAACTAAGTCAGAGAGCTCAATCGAGTTGTTATCATGTCTTCAATAAAAGTCTTGCTTTTGTCACTATAGTAGTGCCACCTCCCTGGGGAACCTAACTTACAACCATCGGATTGATCTCTTTAGGACATTGCATCCAACAACTGCAACATGCCTGGTCTTTTCAAGTCCATATGGAACGGTCATCAAGGATGGACCCTATTGAACCAGGGCATTAGTCTCAAAGAATGTCAAAGGATTCAAACCTCATAGACTATGTTCGCTAATCACAAATGAATTGTATTAAAAAACAAGAGCAAGAAAATATATAAAAGAGCACTGAAACCCGGAAGATAGACACATGTTTAAACAGCACATGGGTCAAATTTGTTATAGGGAAAATTGACAATAATTTGAAATTAAATGATAAGAAAAAGATGACATAGCAAATTACTTGGGATGCGGCTAAAGCAGTACTTAGAGGATGGTGCATTGCTTTAAATGCTTATGTTGGTGAACAAGAAAAGTCTAGAATTGGTGATCTGTGCTTCCATCTTAAAATTCTAGAATACAGAGGAGCAGTTAAAAATAAGGAGAAGAAAGGAGGTAATAAATGCAAGAAAAAGTGATGTAAAAAATGAGATAGTTAAAGTGACTGTGAGTTGGTTCTCTAAGAGATCAATAAAATGTGTAAATTCTTAGCAACACTGATCCATCTAAAAGAGAAATATACCAACATCAGGAAAACTAAGAGGAATCATGAAGATCCTACATCAATAAAAGAAATATTACAAACAACTTTATGCCAATAAATTTCACAACTAAGATGAGATGAAGTTTCTTGAAGTCACATATTTGCCAAAACTGATATAAAATGAAATAGGAAATATGAATGAATTTATAAAAGAGATTGAATTCATTATTAAAAACTGTCCCATGAAGAAGAACCAAGCCCATATGGCTTGACTATTGAATTTTGCTAATAATTTGAAAAAAATACCAATACTACACAAATAGAAAAGGAAAGAACACCTCTTAACACTACTTGGTGAAACCAACAGTGCTTGGTGCCAAAGATATTACCAAGAAAAAAACTACAGACCAGTCTCTTGTGTCATAAATATGGGCACAAAAGTGCTCAGCAAAAGAGTGTCAAATCGAACCTAAAAGTATATGTATATAAAAGATTCATTCACTATGACCAAGTGAAAATTTGGTTTAACAATTACAAATCAATCAAATGTAATTCACCACATTAGGCAAATAAATAATTTCAGAAATCATATAATACTCTCAATAGATTTAGTAAATATCTTGGAAAATTCAATACCTATTCATGATAAATTCTCATAGGCAACTGACTGTACCAGGGAGCTGCCTTGATATGATAAAGTGCATTTATAAAAACCTATAGTCAGGGTCATACTAGTAGAGATGTAAAATGGCTTTTCCCCAAGCCTGGGAACAAGTTAAATGTCTTTCCCCGCCATTTCTATTCGGTACTGGAGATTCTAGCTAGAATAATGACAAGTGAAAGTAGAGAAACCATTAAGATTGGAAAGAGAGAAGGGAAGAGCTGTTTACAGATGATGTGATTGTTTAAATACACAACCCAAAGGAATCTGTAAATGACTAAGGAAGCAATACTTGAATTTAATTAGCATGTTAATATATTGTCAATATAAACCTTCATAGATTAGAAGTCATGATGCTCCCAAACTGGAAGCATTTCAAATGGCCATCAAAAAGAGAATGGAATGAAAACTTGAGGTTTGTTTACCCAGTGGAAAGCCACTCGGATTAAAATAGAATGACTGTTGAATCATGCAGCATAGATGAAGCTCAGAACGATTATGCTGTGGTAAAGAAGTCATTAACCAAAGAGTTATATATATGATTGCATTTATATCAAGTTCAAGAACAGGGAAATTAATAAGTGATGTCACACATCCTGTTTTCCTATGGGCTGGGTGTGGATAAACCAGAAGGGGGCGCAAAAGAACTTTCACAAGTGATAGAATCTTGTAGCAGCATATGCATTTACCAAAACTCAAAGAATTGTACAGTTAACACTGTGCAGTCTAAGTAAATTGTATTACAATAAAAAATATAACTTAATTCCATTAAAAAGTTATTGTTCTCAGTAGGATATTTTGATCTTAAGTCAACAAATTGTTTTTTTTTAAATTTGTTTTCTATTCAAAAAAGAAATAATGTGTGTATTAGTCTGCTCTAGTTGCCATAACAAAATACCCTGAACTGGGTGGCTTCAAAACAACAGAAATTTACTTTCTCAGAGTTCTGGAGGCTGGAAGTCCTAGCTCAGGGTGCCGGCATGGTGGGGTTCTGGTAAGGGCTCTCTGCCTGGTTTGCAGATGGCTGCCTGTCACCTGTGTCTTTACATGGGCCCTGTGAAAGGCCCGTGGAGAGTGCTCTCCAATGTCACTTTTTGCAAGAATTCTACTCCCATAGCAAGGGCCCCACACCTATGACAGATCTAACCCTAGTCACCTCCTGAAGGCCTTGTCTCCAGATACCAACACATAAGGATTAGGTCTTCAGCACATGAATTCGAGGGCCCATATTTCAGTCAGTAGCAACATGCATTCTGGAAAATTTGGAAAGTATAACTAAATAGAAAGAAGAAGAAAAGACATATAATTACTTTACAAAAATGTAGCCACTGCTCACATGATTTATTTTGTTTCCCAAATTTTGTTATTTCAACTTTTACATGGTTATAGGCATCCTACACCTAGGATTTTCTATCAGGATGTTTTTAATTTAATGTTACAAGATGAATTTTTTTTCTGTTACTAAAAAAACCTTTCTTTGATATCCTTTTTAAGACAGCCACAAAAGGCTCATTGAGTGACTATGCTGTATGTCTATTTATTGATTCAGTGTCCTGTGGTGGAATGTTGAGCTACTCATCAGTATTTTGCTAGTGTAGATAACGCTGTGATAAACATTTGTGCATGTGATTTTTTTTTCTATAACTTAGATTTTTTTCTGCTTGGATAGAATTCCAGAAAATGGAGCTTTTAGGTTAAAAAGGTTCGCTCTTAACACATACAGCCAAATTCCCTTCCACAAGGACGGTCCCATTTACATTGCCACCAACAGTGGAGCAGGAAAGTGCTTAGCTGCTTGCTCTTAAAGGGGAGGAGGTCACTTACACTAATGTGCTTATTGGCTGTTTCCAACAGGTAAGCGAATCCTTCTGAAGCCGACTTCTGGTTGTGCCGAGTTGTCCTGGCTCTTCTGGCCCAGAGTCCTGCCCCTGCCTCTGGCTGGAGCCCGTGTCCTGGGCCTCACCTAGGAGTAGACGGGAGCCATCTGCCCCCACCCACAGCCATGAATTTCCTCCGGCGGCGTCTCTCCGACAGCAGCTTTGTGGCCAACCTGCCCAACGGCTACATGACGGACCTGCAGCGCCCAGACAGCTCCACCAGCTCCCCCGCGTCCCCCGCCATGGAGAGAAGGCACCCCCAGCCCCTGGCAGCCTCCTTCTCCTCTCCAGGATCCAGCCTTTTTAGCTCCTTCTCCAGTGCCATGAAGCAGACCCCGCAGGCTTCCCCGGGACTGACGGAGCCTCCCGGTCCCTCCACGCCTGTGGTTCAGAGGCCCAGGATCCTGCTGGTGATCGATGATGCCCACACAGACTGGTAAGCGGGGTCTTCAGGTACCACCCCCAGCCGGGGAGACAGCTGACATGGGGTCTGTCTTGCCTCTTGGGGGGAACAGAGGAGGGCCCTAAGGGGCTCAGGTGGTTTCAAAGAATGACCAGAGGGAAGGAAATTCACACTGACCCACAGGCCCCACAACATCTGCATCGTGCCCAGTTTTCTCCTAAGACCTTTACGTTTACAGGCCCACAGTCCCCACCTGCCGATTTAAAACTCCGTGGCTCTGGCCACTAGAAGATACATTGTCATCCTTTTGACAGCAAAGCCCAGTCTGAAGGACAGTGAGGCTATGGCAGTCTGGATTATGTCACTCTGTGTGCTCGTTCATATGACAATGCAATGTGTTTGAGGAGGGGTGCTGCCCGGCACCCACAGGAAATGTTATATATTATATGGATGGAAATCGCAATCACATGGCCTTTCTAAAATTGGAAGACTTCTGAAGCCTGAAATGCAGCTGGTGATATTTACCCGATTATTCCTCTTCAGCCTCAGTCACTCTCCATGCCCTAAAATGAGGTTAGGGTGACATAAATCAGCACAGGCCCTTGGCTCCTAGCCCAAACCCTGGGGGCCAGAAGGCCTCAGTATGTATCCCAGCTACTTCGGCTGCTGGCAGGCTGGCTCCAGAGCCTGTCCTCCTACCACCAATGCACAGAAACGATGTGCTTTTGAGCTGCTTCTCAGACAGCGCTCCCCAAGCTCACTGCAGCGGCCACCAGGTCAGCAGCTGAGCGACTGAGCACAGCTGATGTGCTCAGGGATGGTGGTCACACGGAGCTGCACTTGGGAATAGGTCTCTCCACCCACTTTGTAGTACTGAGGAGTGATAAGTACTATTCATCTAGCCAGAGACAGGATTTGCTAAAAATTCTGTTACTAAAACCCCTTCTTCCGTGTCCTCCTTCAAGACAGCCCAAACTGAGAGACGAGGAAGCGCCACACTCAGGGCAGAGGAATTCATGGATAGTGTACTCGTCAGTTTTTCCTTGTCTTGACCAAAATGCCTGGGAAGAACAACTTAGAGAAGGAAAGATTGATTTTGGTTCATGGTTTCAGAGGTGTAGTCCACAGCTGGCTGGCACCAAGCAGAAGCATTGTGGGGGGTGGGGCAGGTGGCAGAGGGAAGCTGCTCAGCATGTGACATCCAGAAAGCAGAGAGGGAGCCAAAGGAGCCAGGGACAGGATATAGTCCTAAGGCTCACCCCCTTATCACACTTCCTTCAGCCACATCCCACCTGCTTAAAGTTACCACCCAGTAGTCCATTCAGATTATTAATTCTTCAAATGGATTAATCCACCAATAAGGTTACAGCTCTTATAATCCAATCTTTCCACCTCTGATCATTGCTGCATTGCCTAACACATGAGTTTTGGGGGAGACATTTCCAGATGGAAACCATAACAGATGTGAAGCAGAGAAATTCTGAAAATGAATCCTCAGGCAGCCCCTGTGGCGGGAGGACAAGGTTGCATGTGTGTCTCCAAAGGCCGTCTCGTTGTCCTCACCCAGCACATGTGTGTTGCATGAATACACGGGTGCACCCCGCTGTTCCGTTAGTCTAGCATGAGTGTGGACACTCACATTCCCTCCTTGAGAAGTTAACTCAGGTTGGGCTGATGGAACCTACTCTTTGGAGTGGGAGCTGTTTGGAGCTCTTAATGCATTCTCAGTATTCATTAGGTCCAGCAGACTCAGACATCAGTCCTTGCATTTCTGCTAAGTAATTGCCCCATCTGAGCCAGGGTGGCCGTGAACCACCTGTGATCTGATCCAGTCTGAATGCTGTCCGAGCCGCTGCTTCTGGAAGGCGCTCATGGCAAAGCTTGGCTCCTCTCTGCTCATTCTCTCCCACCAAGCGTGGCCCCCGGGTCTGAGCTTAGGGCGTGATGTCTGCAGATTTGCTGTTTCCAGGCAAGGCTGCTGCCCGTCTGTAATCAAGAGACTATAAAAGTCTTCTGTTGACCTTTAACCCAACATTTGACCTTGATTTCAAGTGTTCTTTGCTGGCTGTGTTATCTCATGCTCAACTTTGTCCGAGAAGTTGCTTCCTCAATGTAGGTGGAGTTGAATTCATAGCATGTCATGGTTCAGGATAAGACATCACAGCGAGGCTGTCTGAGTTCAAATCCCATCTTTGCCACACAGTGACCATGTGACCTCTGTAAGTCACTGCACCTAAATGCAGAACCTACCCCATAGAGTTAGTATATGTAAGTAGGGTTGACACCTAAGTTAATATGAACATGTGTAGTCGGTGTCTGGCCAAGAGAAGGTGCTGTTTAAATGCATGTTAGTGTTTTTGCAGACTGTTATGACCTTTCTGTGTCCCATCAACCAACCTGACAGCAGCCCCGGGGGCAAGCTAGTTTAATCTCTTTGTGCCCAATTCTGGGCAACCTGGACAAGGTTTGTCTCATTGGACTAGGTTTTCCTAGGTCTTCCTGCTGGCTCTTGGCTGACAAAATTGGATCTTATCACTCTCTGTCTCTGTGTGGTGTGTGACTCAGTGTTGGGGCACAATGAATAATATTGGGATGCAATGAATAGCCTCATTCACGTGACATTTACATTTTGGCTGTGGTCTCAATCTCCACAGGAATGACCAGTGTGTACATTTGGGGCCATGCACACTGGTGGGGACTGCTGGCCTGATTATATTTTAATCACATATCACATGTGCTTTAATTAGGTCTTGAGAACAACTATCTTTGGTTCATGGCATATTTTGTGGCCCTTGGTGGGTTAAAACAGAGGAGGAGAAACAGATCCACGAACTCACCCGGAAGTTGACTCTGTTGTCCGCTGGATGTCTGTGACAGAGACCTCCTGCCCCAGACCATCAGCCTTTCAAAGGCAGCTCCGTCCGTCCGAGAGTCTCCATGAACTTCCTAACTTCTCTGAATCTCAGTACCTCCCAGCTTCCCCACACTGATGCTGGCTGCCTTCAAGTTTCAATCCTGCCTGTAGAACTCCCCACACGCCTGTCCCTGGTTATCAGTAACAGCCAGCAGGGGGCGAGCTGGGCCTGCGGTCCCAGCAGCTCTGGCAGAGCCTGGCAGCCGGGGTTCAGCCCCCTCCCCAGGGCTCCCTCATTGTGCAAACTGTCTGCAGAGAGGAGGAAGTTGTTAAAGGGAAGACGGCAGCTCACACAGCCCCTTTCTTCCCGCTTTGAGATGATAATGAGGGGGGAGCCCATCCACTGTCTGGACTGAGGAGCCCCCCCTCGCCCGGGGACAATGCAAATGTGGTCCCCTTTTCTACCCGCCTCAGCCCCAGATGCTGGGGCTCTGTCTTCCTCCCTGGTCCAGGGCCTCCTGCAGCACCCGGTTTCCTTGCAGAGAGAGGAGGGGATTGTAGGACGCCTCCTTCCTCTCCTGGGGCGTCCAGCTTTCAGATTCTCAGAACCCATGGGGGCCTCCCCAGGACCATCGGACACCTGGCCAGGGACCTCAATGGGGGACTTTCATCCTCTGAAGAGAAACAGAAGGTCCCAAAGTCACCTTTGCTGGCAGAACTCTTGACCCAGCATTCATAGATGCAGCCACCTGTTGGGGCTGCCTGAGGAGGTGACCTTGGCTAGGCAAGGGGGTGGGAGGAGCCCGGGCCACCCTCTGAAGGCCAGCTCCATGGCAGGTCTGAGCTAAGGATGCTGTCTTCCGGGCCTGGGGCAGGCCAGTCTTGAGAACACCCCCCCCCACCCCCGGGGAAGGAGGATGAGATGAGTGGATCTCAAGGTCAGTGTTCTTCCCCACATCTGCACTGGTGCTCTGGCCTGGGATTCCCCAGCAGCTCCACAGGCCTCCAGGCTGGACCCTGCCTCCCAACTACCCTCCACGTCACCATCTCCGTGTTCCCCTCCCGAAGCACAGATCAGCTGCAGTTGGCTTCTCCCCGGCCCCCTGCCCCCATGCATCCCCTTTTACAATCCTTTGCTGCTGCATCCTTGACCTAAAATGTGCAAGTTCAAAGTCATTAGCATGTCTGGCCTGCCTCTGGTTGTGTCTCCAGCTCCACTTCCTGCTTTGGGGTTTATTCTGCAGGAATACAAAACAGCTCTGGTTCTCAGGAGCATCTCGGTAGGTACCTTGGCCTTTTCTGTTCCCTGTTCCAGGAACACTCTTCTCTGTCACGTTCACCTGGCCAGTTCCCATTTAGTCTTAGAGGACTGCTCAGCTGTCACCAATATGCCCTGCTAACACTGCTAAAAACCACTGCCCCTGTATAAACTTAAAACACTCCACGGTGCCACACTGGCACATGCCGCACTGTATTAAAATTGCCTCCCATGAGAATGAGACCCAACTCTTATTCTTTTTTTTTTTTTTTTTTTTTTTTTGCACCAGGGATTGAAACCAGGGATGCTTAACCACTGAGCTACATCCCCAGACATTTTTATGTTTTATTGAGAGACACAGTCTTGACAGTTGCTTACAGCCTCGCTGAATGGCAGAAGCTGGCTTCAAACTTGTTATCCTCCTGCCTCAGCCTCCTCTCTCGAGATGCTTGGATTACAGGTGTGTGCCACTGCACCTGGCTCATATTCTTCTCTATGACCCAGTGCTGAGCACATTGCAAGTGTTCAATCAGCACATGCCTTTGTCCCTGTCCCGACCCAATCAGGATAACTTCAGTAGACATAATAGGCCTGAACGTGCCTTACCTTAGGGGTCAGCAATACAGAGCGCAGAGTTGAGGAGCTCTGTCTTCATGAGCCTGTGTACAAAGTCCTGGCTACTTATTTGTCAGGATGCCAGAGTCACTGTGAGGCTGATATTTGAGATTGTTTAAGAGGGAGGGGGTTATCATCTACAGAATGACCAGAATCTCATATTTTGATTTTCAGAATCAAAACACTTAACCTACCCCCCACACACAAAAAAATAGCCATAACCACATAGTGTTAGCTGCTTCCAGTCCCCCTACGGGGCCTCTGGAGTTGAGAGGGTGGCAAGGAGGGGCAGGGCCAGGTGGAAGC